GTATCCGCGTCTCTAAGGCAGCGGCGGCATTCGGAAAGCTAGAGTACCGAGTGTGGAGCAACCACATCGACATCCAGCATATGGTGCTGCAGCTCTTTCGTTTGCGAGTGCCTGAGTCAGGCAGGCCTAGTGAGTCATGGGAGACGCCACTCGGAGCCACCATAGAAGGGACGAATTGTCCTGCGGAGACCGTAGGTAGAACCGACGCAGCGTTTGTAGGTATGCTGCGTTCGATTTACTAACCGCGTGCTTGTATGCTGGGTCTCTTTATTTCAGGTAGTGGATTTGCTATAGTGTTCTGATGTCTTTCTTATAACTTATGAATACCCATTAAAACTATCTTCCATAAACTTGCAAAAGTCGCTTAGGCTAAGTTTAGTTAACCTCAATAACGTCATCGCGGTTGTGACATTTTCTTAGGTTACATGTTCTGACGTATTTAACCTTTTGCGGATTATTTGCAACCAAGTTATTTCATACTCTCATTTAGTGAGGAGTTATCTCACCTTATCTGTATGGATTAATCTATTTATTTTCTTTGTTATCGTCGTTTAAGTGATTGCCTGTTGCTTGATATCCCCGGTGTGGCTACGCTTGATGTGCATGTTGACAAGGTGCCTACCTGTCTGTTACCCACTACTTAGTCCACATTGCCTCTAGCAGACTGTTGGTCGCTGCTGGAGAGGTCGGGGTGCACGGTCCTCGTGGTCCTACTAGGCTCGAAGATTGCTTCCATGCACTCAGTGTGGAGTGGACTACGGTCCAGCCACCGCCGCGTATGCGCTTGATTCCCCAACTAGAGCGTGCTTGTGTTTGAAGGAGTGTGGACCGGTTCCGTTGATGAAACGTGGCTCCCATCCGCATGCCTCCCGGTCTTATTCCTTCGGGTTTACACTGGATATGGGGTGTGTGGATGGAGCTGTGGGTGGTGCAGCGCAAGCCATCCATGGTCCCTCTCTAGGCGCAGGCGTCCTGAGGCTGGCCACAGGGACAGGCAAATCCGAAACCCGATGCCGCCAACCATATACAACGTGACTCCAATGGGAACATACACCGCGTAGAATGTACTTGAATCGTGATAAATCTGTGCAGCGTACTAGTGAAACGAGCGAGCAACCCCTACACCGTACACAAAATGTTCCATTGAAGAATACTTGTAGAGCCGTTGTGCCTGACGCTGAATCAATTGACAATTATCCAACAAAAGCGATTCCACTGCTCTGGAAACTAAACGAGTGAGGGAATATAAGGTAGTTAGGGGAGTTAGGAAGCCTAACATCTATCCTTATTAATAGACTAGATATCTGTTACTGTTGTGCAATCTCACAAATCTTTCCGAATCCTGTGAAGCCTTAACCGCCTTCTCCGCGAGCTTCTGGAACTAAGTTCAAGAATTCAGCCGGAAAGCCAACTGCGGCCGTGATAAGATGGCACACCGAGCATGATGGTTGTTGATCCAACAGGCGACTTGAAGTAATATGAAGCCAACCGCTTGAAAGCTAATCGACCGCCGCGAATACAACCTGATAGCAATCACATAGGCCGGAATGATAGTACAATTGATTTGGACCGACATGAGCAAACCTTGAAAAGGGGTCAAAAAAGAAACTTATGAAGAAGAATTGGGACAGTTTGAACCTATGGTAATAATAACAGAAGCAAACCAAGATGTCAAACTATGATACGAAATGAATTAAGTGTTTGATATTACTACTTTATTTTTTTACGACTTGATAGGCAGGACGCATATTAAGGTCTGGAAAATCTCAATTATCAAGCCGCGGAAAATGCACCGTTTTAGACCCACAAAGATTTCAAAATCAGAAATAGGTTCGATTGAATTCGAAAGGGGAATAGCGCGAATGACCAAAAAATTCAACAAGAGAGAATTCCTACCGCACAATCAGACAAGAACCGTTCGGACTCTCCTAAATCAAATCAGAAGGAAACAGATGCATTCAAGTTAGTCTCACAGAACGACTTGGAGCTGCATACTGGTATTCATGTAATTAGATAGACTACAAGGAGGCTACTTATAAACGAGCATGCAGCAGATATGTTGCTGTCACCGTGCCATCAGACAGTTTCTAGCCTCCACCATCCCCAGGTGTTCTAGTTTATGCACTGATTCATGAATTATCAGACTACAGCTCGGGTACTAAGTCTAACCTATACTAAACTGCTATTACGCAGCTTTACACAAAGTCTGTGTAGTATGATATGTTGGGCAAGTTATGATTTAAGTGTGCTTGAAAATGGAACCCAAACTGTCAAGACTTTTGAATTAAGGTGCATATTTTTAGTAGAAACACACACCCGAAATCCAGCACAGTCCAATTTAATTGTTTTAGTGCATTTGAGCATTTGAGCCATCACATCCTAGTTAGGATTATCGGAAACCAGGATACTGATTAGCTATGGAAAAACAAGGGTACAAGGGAGTTATCGTGGATAAAAAACCAGTCGCTCAAGAGTTTCCGTAGGTATAGGGTGAGAGGATAACTGCATGTACCAAAAGCGAGTGGTCGTGGAATTGCTGTCAGTTTCACGCCTACTCATAGTTTGGTGAAGTTGTCCAGTGTCCTAGTAACGGGTTAACTCATGCAATGCAGGTAGTGTAATAAGTCATCAAGTACATTTTTGAACTCGGATAACGCAGGAGCGGTGATGACAATGCGGAAGTCAATTCAAAGGCCGGGATACAATAATGGAGGAAAGGTACCGGTGGCATTGCAACAGGCTATACTGTGTAGTCAAACTTAAGTGGTGTCCTCTAAGTGAGGTACGGTGGCTGAGTATCAATAATTTCTGCGTTGGTGGTTAGGATCCTTGATCAGGTATACCAATATAAGATAATCCCATAGAGGGTGATATCGTTCACCAAATACTCCGAGTCTTGAGAGTAAACTGGTAAGCGTGGTGGAGTGCTCGTTTAACTTTTTTTGTCGCTCTCCATTATGAATTCTCAAGAGCAGTGAGGTCATGTTTTAGCCAAGGGTGCCACATTTGAATGTGACCACGTGGTATCAAACCGGCCAAAATCTCTGCAGTAAGCCCAAGTATTGGCTGGCTTTTTCACTGACTTCTTAGCATGTTTGGAGCATCCGGAGCCGGCGTCTTATAACTTTCATTGCAAGCGGCAAGTGGATGTGAGCTATCTGACGCACACTATCCAACCTGCATCAAACATGACGGTGCCTACCACAAGATTCAATAATACAACTACATCTTGTTCTCGGTGCTTACAGGAGATCTGACAATAATGTTAGTATCTGATGTGAAATTCTTCACGAATATTGTTAGGAAATGACATGTGATCAAGTGACAGGGTGACCATGAGTTACTTTAGTATGAACTTGATGAGACGAACAAGTCGGTCAATAACAGGTTACCGTTAACTGCTAACAGTTACGGTATGCTTCGTAACTACTACAGATTCACAGAAATGTTTAATATTTGAGAGCCAAGCGCAGGCCTTTTCTGAATAGGAGGATCGCTGCGCGTATGTAGGGAACTACTTCGATTGTTCAAGGCAGATCATATATGAGTCTATAAGAGGAAACCAGTATGCCTTTTCTGGAAAGCACTCAGTAGCACGAGCTCACTCACTTTCTCCCGGATGCTCACTCCCTTGGCACATTATGTCAAAGTCTAGCGAACCTGATGGCAACATGCCATAAGACAGAATACCATTAGGCTCTGGCACGTCCCACTCCAACAGTAACTGAAGGTACTTGGGTATTAAGTAGACATCATTGACAACACTGTGGTAAAATAACGGTGACGTACCAGATATTCAGTGATTCTTGATATGACTTTAGCAATTGCTTGAGCCCATTCCGAGAACTAAATCGGTGAAATTAAGTGAGTACATGCGTGCCTGGAGGTGTGTAGGATCTACCTCCCCTTCGAGTTAGTACATCCAGTTATAGCTTCCAATACCCAGTATTTCCGTTCCCATACGGGTTACTTTCAAAACTAGTTGCATAACACACACCCTCTAAGTTTCCTTTGAAGAGCTTAACAATTTGACAGATCTCTAAGCAATTGGTTGATGGCCTAATCAAACCAGATGAAGAAGAAAATCAATGCGGATAAACCGATATACTTTTCTTGCACAAAGCCAAAACTACAACCCCCTTTCGCGTGCCACGCTTTAATTGACGTCTTGGTCACCCATCGAAAGTTGCCGAACTTTTGAATATGCAACCACGACGTATCTTTCTTTCACCGTTTCTGCTACGATGGACACAGTACGCCTAACTTGACTATGTGGAATCTGTTATTCAGCTACTTACTGGTTGATCAACTTTCTTTATTGGTGGATCATGCTTCCTACGGAAGAAAAACCAAGCTTCAGTTGAAGTAATAAAATCATCATGTATTCAACCTACCTTTGTTACTTATTCTGCTGTGCGAATTAGCCAGCTCATATTTCGTCATACGGCAAATATGTTAGATAAAACAAAAAGCAATTTATCCCACGGTAGCTCGTGATTTGTTGTCAGTCTACGCTGCCCATGTCCCAGTGTAATCGTTTAGTGATCGTCTACCCTAACGGAGATCATGGCTTGAGATCCAAGGCATAAACATCCAGCATATGTGGTTGTGTCTTCCAGTGAACACCGCTGGGTTTTCAGTTCTCCCTGAGTTCCAAAAGTGAATACTGAGAATACAAGTGACCAATATAGCAATGATTTATAGTTGTTCATGTGACGTTAGTAGGGAAGAGGCCGGGGCCGCGAGGTACCTAATATGCCACTTATTCTGGAAAGCGCATAAATTAGATTGTGCATGACATTTACTACGTCATTTGACTCACTCAACGGAGTTATATATCACAGAATTACTTACAAAGCCAGATGGAAATGCGAAAACAAAATCAACTAACTATTATTTAGTTTTGAGTAGCAGACTTCCGAGATTGTCTAGCTAGCTTTCACAAAATCCCTCAGCGGACCTGATTTAGCACATATTAAACTTTTGATTTCATATTTCAGAGCCCAATGAGATCAGACCGCCGGAGTTGGAGGCACTGCATCCGATTCCGATTGGGTCGTCGAATTACAGCACGTTGGTGGAAATTCGCGTCTTCCGAGTCTCCGGTGAAAATGGACCAATACATCGATATTTTGTCATTGTTGCGCCGGATGGACCAGATAGGCACGCCTGTACGAAAAGGCCGGGTGATTTAAGTCTGAACGAGTTGTCAGAAAATGCGCTAACACCAAATAGAGAGTTACCATATCTGGCAATTGCAACAGCTCAGCACAGACTGTTCAAGGTAAACCAAGATAGTGCCATCGTTGTTTTGGGAAGAGAACAACCGAAACGAGGAGCGCGCTCAGTACAGGGCACTGAACTAGTGGGGGAAGAGAGTCATGGATTGGATGATGAGAACGACTCGCCCTTTAGCTTTGGTGAACCCGTTGACATCGATGAATTTCGCGCATTCAATAAACCGCTCCATCCACAATTCACTTATTGTGCGGCGTCCAGAACGTGCTCTTTAGTAAGTCCATCTTTAACTATGTATTACTCGCTTTAACTGGTTTGTCTACCCTTACTGGCAAATATAACAGTGTTTGCATTTGCGATCGATAGATGGAGGCATCTTATTTTGACTCAATAATTATTGGGTTTACCGCTGACTGTATGCCAGAGCTCGACCAGTTGTTATATGCCCCTATAATGTGAGTTGAATGCAGCTTTATCCTGTTTGGAATTGAGAGTGGGGACAAAATATGCTAATAACTATAACATTACTTTTTGAATTCCATATGGGAAATGTATTCAGAGGGAATATATGATTATTTGGGGACAATGAGTTAGATCTGCATCTTATTTACTGCTTAGCATAAAACCATATTTTGATCATTCAGCATGTTCATATTGGGGTACGATATTAATGCTACAACACCCGTTCGCGTGTGCCTACATAAATTTGTGCAACGAGCATACTACTTGTGACTTGATCAAGTAGCATTTCTCTCCTTATGGTATTTCTACAGTGCTGACACCCATTGACAAGCACGTAGATGTGGCAATGGATTAGTCCACTATTCATATGTTAAACTCATGCAAACTGGTAGCTAAATGCCTCATAAACCGCACACAGTACTGTCAGGTAAAATAAACTTTCACATTCTCACTTGATCTGCTTGCCACTCACTCTAGTCTTCAGGCACGCGGCTAATCAATCATAATGCGTTTGACTACTGTTGTCCTGCGTATAACATCTATGCATGGATTATCACATCCATCGTATGTCTGATGGTTGCGCGCACATTCACTGTGCTACTATCCTACAAGCACAATATGCGATAAGCTCAGTTTAGTTCATATAGTTTAATAATCTTGGTACAGCAGCTGAAATGAAGTCCTTTGTTTGCGCGTAATGGTGACTGATGACAGGACACCACTGTTGTTGGTGACGCACAGATAACATCACTTGCGACGTTGTATCAATTCCACAGCTAGTCAACTTTCTAGTGGCTGGGAGGTTTTATTGGGTTTTTGGGGATATGCGTTTCGGATAGACAGCCAGACACCCACGACGCATCCAGGGAAGCGCTGGACGGCCGTTTCGGACTACTAGGACTAGTCGGTGGTGCGGAACTGTCAAATTCTCAGAATTGGAACCCATGGGCTTACCCTTAGGAGTCAACGGCTTATGCCACGGAGCCAAGGGTGACGGCACCAGACCACCATGGCTGATTGAACAGCGATATAGCGCGGCTCATTTTTCATGGTATGAATGAAGTGAATGTGCACTAACAATCAGTAATCGCTTTTGCAGCTTACCTGTCCCATCAATTGGTGGTGACTTGCACAGGAAGTTGTTGCTCTCGGGGCAGCACTTTACTCTACACATGTTTCGCAATATGTATGAGAGTGTAGGATGAGCCCCGCTATATCACATTTATGAAACAGCGACGGCAGTGCACCACCCATGGCTTTATGGTAAAAATCACTGACTTGTAATAGTAAGATACTGCGCTGGGTTCCGGCAGGATCTGGCAGGCGATCGCTACTGACGAGTCCAAATAGGAAGAAAGGACCGTATAGCACTTTCCTGGATGTGTGATGGTTATCTGGCTGTGCCTAGCCACAGACAATCTGTTCAACATGTGCAGCCTACGAGCAAGTAATGTTGTGCACTTACGGATTAGGTGGCCAGCACTGAGTACTCGGAGTGACACACACAGTTGAAGTTGCAGTACGGATTAACTTTAGGCGCAACCCTGTCGGTTCCTTCTCTGTGCATGCATACAGATTTGTGTCATTGTTGTATTTCTTTCATTTCAGAAGCAACGGACTGTTTCATTATGAAGTATTCGGCGCGCTTTCCTTCTGCCGAGCTGAAATTCAGACCTTTTACCACTAAGCAATTTAATTTCGGTACCTTAGTAAATAGCTTATCCGTAAAAATATATTGCAATTTCATACTTGTATAATAGCTTCAGTGAACGGGATGACCTTTGCTTACAATAATCCCAGAGAAAGAATCCAAAGAAAAGCCACCAGATACCTCTAGTTGAACAGAGCAAACCTATGTGAGACGGCTAGTGAAGTGCATCGATATTGGAGAATGACGCCGAAAAGTTTTCCACACGTTTTCACGTCTTTGATCATTAACCATAAGGGTGAGCTGAGAATTGTTCAAATGTTTTCCTATAGGGCAACTGTTCACAAATGTAAGCAATCTACACCTATTGTTTTTGTTCAACTTCGCTTAGATCTGGTTTCAACAGACCCACACTTTAATCGACCACATGTGTACATATAAATGAGTCGTGATTTTGGTGTTCCCTAATCAGTAAGTTCATATCGACCCGACATCCTTTCAAACGGATTTATATTTAGGTCATTATATTAGCTTGGCGCGGCTTTCTTGAATAACTTTGCACTGGCTGCAACATATCAAATGATGTTCTAAAATATTGCTTGACGGAGATGATGTGAAAACACATTTCATTAGACTATATGCGTCCGCAGACGAAATGACTTTTTAATCCTATAACAATCATTTTAGGCTCGTACTCCCATAGCAGATGACAGTCATTAATTACAAGAACTTGGAGAAAGGACGATAAATTGTGCATTTTCGAAACTTTGCCGTTGGTGTGATTCACTCACTACGTGGGATACCAAGTGGGGACAGTTTCTCTTGAGCTTTCTATAGAACAAACCGTGAAGCACTTCAAATGACAAAAGCAGGTGAAGTGTGGTGACCGTCTAGCATGTGTCAGTTCACTGACATTGTTGAAGAAGACAGGATGGATTAGTCTGTTGGTCAGTAACTATGCTCAGCCATCCCTTTTAGACAATAATCCAAATCCTTTCTCGTGTTACCCTCCGAGCATCAAGGAAAAAGCCCGGGCGGAGATCACAAGTCATTATTAAGAACATTCGTGGTTATTCATAGAGTATATACAATATTTCGCTGTTGTCCGTTCACTGGCTGGCCCTTATTAACTAGCCTGTGTAGTCAACCACATCCTATTGGCTTATGCTTGCTCTCAGTACGGGAAGTCTACCCTTACGGACTACAAATTGACGTTAGGCATCGCTGTTGCTAGCACGGATAGACCGCACGGTGGCGTCTGATTGGCCGTTCGCATATTTGGTCTATGAAGCCATCAATTAGTCAAAGCTGAGTGTTCTGCTAACCTGGGCGCAAGACATCCACAAGCTATACGGCCGATCAACCAGCTTTTCCACTTTCCGACGGCTTGCTGTTACTGCACTACGCTGGGCCGCGTGTGTTTCGCGCCATCGGTTCTCGTGAGTAGCGTCTCATCAAGCGTCTATTCGGTTAATGCTTCCTCGGTTAGCCATCTGCCCTAGCTGAGCGTACTATTAACATGGACTCTGGTGTATACCATCCACTCGCCGTAAGGCAGTCCAACCAGCGTTTCCGCTGGGCCTGACCACCTGTGCTTGCTCGGCTTTACTCTGATTGGTACCCGGTCCATCGATATCGCACCGATTCCATTCACTCTCGGTCTCAGCCGCCATCAGATCCCTTTCTTGTTCACTTTTATGACGGTGTTGCAAGGTGTTCCGTACTGCCCTACACTGCGTGTGCCTTTACTGTATGGCGTTGAGGTCACCTTATCCTTTTATGATACAGTTGTTGCTGCCTATCCCCGATTTTTAGTGTTCGCCCATTACGGGCACATCTGAGTTGTACCCTATTCCGTTTAACGATATGGCTCCCTATCCTGACTTCCTAGCTCGTTTCGCCTCTTCAACTTTCAAGCACTCCCTTCTGCCAACGTTAGGTGTTTTTACTACTGGTTGCATGCATAATTCTTCTCCTGAAGATAGAGCTCGGAGGCTATTTTATCCATCAATATTGTATTACTTTTGCTTTAGCATTCTGTTGAGTATTCATTGAACAATGAACGATGATTTATGTGGGATAAAAATGCAGTTGGTTGATAAGTTCCGCAGAATGGTAGGAGTAAAACAAACATTCTCAAAAGAAACGTGAGTTGCCTGGTTGCGCGTTTACCTAGCAGATACGCTGCTGAATAATAGTAGTGTAAGTAGGAATTGAATGCGAAGAAAGAGACAAAATTTGGACAGTTATAGTTATTGTACACTGTGAGAAAAGTAAGAAGCTAAAAATAGAATAATTACTACTGTCCCGCATCCTCAGATATAAGTAACATGTTAATGTGGTTTGGAGAAATAATTAATTCATTCCAAATATGTACATTTCTAGTAACGAAGTGCTGGAAGCTAAAGGGCAAGACCCAATGGTACTTTTTGAAAATATCCAAAGGGGGAAGGAAACAACGAACTTTGGGAGAGTGTCCCAGGGTTGGCAAACCCGAAGAGAAAAATAATTGCGCCGACATTCCAGACGGTTATACTATCCACACAATTTCAGAGGGTTACGTCTGCGATTGGTGTTATGGCTGAGCCTTATCAAGTGACAGCACACGTGATTAGGGTCACTCAATATGTGGTAGACATATGAGATCATCGCTTAGCCTTCGATAGTGACCATTGAAAGCTCCAAATGACTTAGCCTTTGAAGGTAGGACAGATTTCGTAAGCTTTTGACATTCTTTGTTTCCCTGGGTTGTGGTTTTTCTAGTACTACTAAGTCGCGCTTCAGCCAAGGTGGCCAAGCTTGGATGGCGTATTCAACGTGAGGGCACGCATAAGAATTGTGCAGCGTGGGGAAAATGCATGGGTCGAATCTTCCGAATGCCCTCTGCTGCAAGTCGACGTGCTGGTTGGCTTTATTCACAGCTGCCTCTGACTGCTTTGCACAGTTAAAGTCACTTTGAATTAACATACCAACGTCGCGTACATAGGAAGTTATTTGCAATACATATGACCCAAGCCTATACAGGTAGACATGCCTATGGCGCAATTGAAGATCGCGACATTTATCCACATTGAACGGTAGGGTGTTCAGAACTGACCAGGTTGAAATCGTGTAAGGTAACCCTGGAGCTATTCGTGGTTGTTCTGTTCATTGATCGCTCGACA